AGAGAATCTGGTCAACAGAGGAGGGTCAGACGCAAGAATAACTCGCACAAGAGAAATGGGTGCGCAAGAAGAGAACATCTGTACAGTGCACTGAAAAAGGAATCCTCGAAACGACAAAGAGTTAGGCCAATGTTACAAATAACTAAGCCCTACATTTCTACTGAGGGGTTGGAAGGTATGGTATGATCTTGCAAACGAACAAAAAGAAACGATTTTTTTTCCAAAAGAGAATCTGGGCAAGGAGGAGCTCAAAGCTCGTGAAGCTAATCCTCCTTGGGGAAAGTAAACCTAAAAAAAAAATTCTTTCACTCCCTTCTAATTAGGGGTTGGAGACGTAAGCAGCTCTTTGTTCGTTCAAGTAAAAACTAGAAAATACTAAAAGGGCCCCAATCATGAGAAAACAGATGGTAACTGCAAGACAAACTAGGCCCAATAGGAAATGATAATGGGATATTGAAAACATGGAATACTCAAGCTTTTGGGAATAAGGATACAGGAGGTTTAATTAAGGAACTTCAAGATTTTAAATATGAATATTGCATAGTTTAAGTGATGACAAAGAAAAAGGGCTCGGGTTCATAGATGAGATTGGATCCTATGTCGCCATATTGGGGGAGCGGAAGTACCAAAAGATCCAGAGGGGTAGTAAAAGGGAATTTCCATAGTCAAAAAAATAATTTAGAAAAGCATATGAGAGTTGGGAAGCCATACGGCGAGAGGGCTGATTAAAGTAAATTTGGAAAGTTTTAGGTACAAAATGATTGATTCTTGGAGTGTATGAGGCTGGAATGAAAATGAGATACTTTGTATTTTAGAAGTATTTTACTCAAAAATGGAGTAATCCAGTGAATGTGGGGTAAAATATGAAGAACTTATCAGGCTATTTTACTGCTACTGTGGTAAAATCTAATGCTCAAAAGTCATGGACAACATGGAGAAGGGGTGGAAAATTCAAATGGAAAAAGATGATTCAACGATGTGAACAGACCAATGAATTATAATTCGAAATGGCCACTTCCAGCATAAAGAATGCATATGTTCACTTGGGAAGATAAGGTAAAGAAAGAGATCAGTGATTGACTACATAATCACAGACAGTATTAAGGGGTAAGTAATAGATATCAGGGCACACAGCGGCCCAGAATGTAATCCAGACCATTACTAGTGAAGCAAAATTATGTTTCCATCCATAAAACAAAAAGAAACGGAGAAAGATGAACGAAAGGAAGAAAAATTAAATCGCAAAGCGTATGGAAATAATAATATAGTGTGTCTATTACCACTATAAGATATTTATTTTCAAAATTATTAGATAATTTACTGAAATAAAAACCTAGTTGCAATAAAATGAGAGAACATATGAACACCTCAAAGACTGTCTACATCAATGTGGCTTGGAAGAGTGTTCTTGGTGAAATATCTTTAAATAAGAAAAGGAGAGGGAAGAGCTTTGGATTACTCCAGACCTGGAGCGGAAATAGCAGAAGAAGAAAGACTGTATGAAAATGGTGGAGTACCAAGAAAGAAGAAAATGGAGAGAATACTAAAATCCAAAGAAAGAGAGTTAGACAACCTTCATAAGAAAAGAAAAACAACAATAATGGGAGCATAAATGTCAAAGAAGTAGAATGTTACATAGGTGGGAACAAAAACAAGTGAGATTTGGAAGTTCATAAAAGAGGTAAATCTCCAAATTGAAAAAGGTCCCATACGAGTATATCAGTAAGCACAATGGGCAAGAGTAATCTTAGGAAATTATTAATGAAGGAAGATAAGACTTTACTTGAAATTACAGAAAGGGAAAAGATATCTTTGGCAAGAAAATTACTGTACGAAGAGAGAGTTAAGAGATGTATCAAAGAAATGAAAGGCGTATAAAGCTCCGGGTCCAGGAGAAATCCCAAGCGAACTGATAAAGAACGGAACACCAAAGCTAGTGCGAATGATGACAAAGCTAATAAATGTATGTATAAATAAAGGCGATATACCAGAAGACTGGAAAATGGCTTATATAACACAATATGTAAGAAAGGAAGGAAAGACATTTGAAAATTATAGAGGGATAGCAGTGACAAACACATTCAGTAAGTTATATGGGAGAATATTAATAGATGGATTCAAGAAGTACAAAGAAGAAGAACATAGTGGTTTTAGGGTGGGTCAATCTTGATTAGATAACCTGTTTTGTCTGTCCCAAGTTATGCAAAAGAAATGACAAAAGGGAGAGAACTTCACATGGTCTTTCTTGATATAGCAAAGGCGTATGATAGTGTGCTAGTAATAAAGTTGTGGGAAGTTATGTAAATAAAATCTTAATATATGGTGAGAAGAAAGTGTATATAGAGCAAAAGGAGAAAGTGAAAGTTGAAAAACAAATGACCCAAACATTTCCTATATCAAAAGGACTACGGCAAGGATGCTGTTTGTCACCTATCTTTAAAATGTATGTTAATGCGGTGTTACAGGTATGGAAAAAAAAATGTGCTGGGATGGGAATACCTCTTGATCATAATACAACACTCTACATCCTACAGTTCGCTGATAATTAGGTGCTGATGATGCAAGAACAAGAAGATATTGAATATATGACAAGAAAGATAAAAGAAGATTATGAGAAATGGGGACTAAGCCTCAACCTAGAAAAAAACAGTATATTGGACTCTAGGCAGTACACATGACGTATTGACTATGGAAACTGAACAAATAATAACAACAGAGGATATAATGTACTTGGGAACAATAATAGGATAACGGATTTTATGGAAAGGAATGTAAAAGCAAGCGCGTTAAAGTAAGAACAATTTTAGGATCCCTGAAGTCAGTTAAGCAAGAAAACAAAATTTGAA